GAAAAAAAACAGACACAGACATGAGCGACTGTCATCTCACAAGAATCGAGATTCGTATTTCAAGAAAATGAAAATCATCTATAAAAAAGAACAAAAAATGTATGGAACATGTCTGTTAGCATGAAGGAGATAGCTATAGGTGACAATTTACAGAAGACACAATAGAACTAGAAGCAACTTTGAAATGTTAATGCTTTTCATCCTGTGCTCAATACTGCAGAGCTCTGATCCCTGCATAGACTAACAGGGTTCTTGCACAAAAAATACAGAAGAAAGTCCCACAAACAAACTCAAAATACCTGCCTGCTTGTGTTACTCTGTAACAGTACAGCTTTCAAACACCTTGTTCACTCCATCCTGCCTTTTTTTCCTGTTTCTCTCTAGCTATATTTCATATTAGGCCCATTTCTAGTAGACACACTTCAGAAAGGCTAACTAGGCCAGGCCTCAAATGAAAGAAGCAGAAGAATGTCTACGTTAAAGATCTCAACAGATCTGGGCTGCTCACCTGTGTCAAGAAAGCTGCAGTTGCAGGTCCATGTCTGGATCTCTGATGTAACTGAAAACTTCACAGTTAAAGATGCAGAGGTGTAAGGATTTAAGCATTTTCTTGTTTGTATGGCAGCTGACACACTTCAGAAAGCTTTTAGTTCGTACAAACAGGACCTTGGGAGAATGTAGTTCTTCAAAATCAATTTCATCACGCAAAATACCTCAGTATGCATTAAACTTTAAAATGTGTTTGCAGTTCTCTCACTTCCATAAGAACTAATAAAAGCTAGAAATCTGATGAATATCTTGATGAGGGGAAAAAAAAATCTTAAGAGAACTACTTTAGAAAAAGCAAATCCTATGGCTTGATAAACAACTCTGCAGCAGCTTTTACCTGATGTGAGCACAACCACATTGGGGAGGGGGAAGGCAGAACATGAAAGTGAGAACATTAGAAGCCTCATTCAAGGATGTTTGGAAATCATATTTTTGAAGCCACAAAACAAAAACAATGGCTTGGCTAGGTCACCAGATTTCTGAATTGTGACATTTTTATAGCTATAATTCCATTCATGAGATGTGTTAATCACACCCGATTCCACTGATATAGGCTATTAAAGGAGAGGAAAAACCTCAGCAGTAACCATAACAAATACACTTCCTTTACTGTTTTTTCCATTCAAGTTACACACAATACAATGAAGTTATTTTTTTCCTTAGTCTACATAAAACACTCAACTCTCACATATTCTCTCTTTTTGAGACTTTGTTCATATACACAGCTTCTGCTTCATACTATTTCAAACAAGCCAGTCGCAAGAAGGAAATTCTAACTCAGAAGTAGGAAAAAACAGAAACCTGAGAAAAAGTACTAGAAAAACTCATTAGACACAGAAGAAAGTGATTTTTTCTACCTGTCATTGCCTGCCTGAATAAGATGCTATCAAATTACCCTAGAACTTAAATAACTCATTTTCTTCAGTTTTGAAAGTAAGCAAATAATAGAACCAACACAGCTTTTGCCGGAATAATGAAATCATTATCGCTCATCCAGAAGAGCCTCAAAGTGCCTTAAAAAAAAATCCCCAACCAAATTAAGCCCCCTCCCCACACAATATTTTATACATGAAGGCTGACAACCGAAAGGCAGTTACTTGTGTCAGCTGCTTAACAGCTCAGCATTCACTGCAGTACACATGCAGTGGACATATGCAGTGGACACACCCATGCACTAAACAGAAAAAAATGTGGGCAAAATGAGTCAATGCAAACCAGAAGCTGAGCAGACCCCCTTTGTTTTCTCTGAAGTGATATTTCATTCAGAAAAAGATCACACTAAATTTAGCTATTACACTGATGTCTGCAGGATAACAGTACAGACTAGCAATTATGTTTGATAAGAACAGAAGGAAAACCAAATGGGAGACAACCTGCACTCCTTAGGACTGTATCAATGCAGCCAAAAAAAATAAATCCAATAATTATTCTTGGAAAGAGCAAAATCTATGGGAAATAACAATCAAAAAAAATCCCCTCAAAGAAACTAAATCCACACCTATTCACACAATATGCTTATTTTAATCCCTTTTTCCCAAGTCACAACAGCTGAGGCTGTTTTAGGGAGTCAAGAGAGATCTGCCTGGATAGTCCAGAGATTTCTCTTTGCAAGTCTGCTTAAGAAACAGCTATGACTCAAAGCTGTACCTTAAGAGGAAGCTGACTATTACATTCCTCATCACCCGCAACTCTAGAAGATTGAAGACATTTTTCAAGAGACTATTCTCGCTAAGCTACATGAAAATCTATTTGAAATAAAAAAAAATTAAAAATCCATGTAGTCTTGAGTACAACTTCCTGTAAAGGCCAATCCTCTAGCTATCAGTCATAAAGAAATTTGCAAACAGTTGTGTGGTTTCAGGAAAAGAGTTTCGTACCCCAGGAATGCAGTTTTCTTACAGAAATAAAAAACATAGTTATTTTGGCCTTTTTTTTTCTGACAATGAAGACAACAAATTCCTGATTCTGACAAATCCAAGCTTGGGCACTGCTCAAATTCTCTTGTAATAAACCAGCTTGGATTCATTTAATGTTTCTTTATTAAGAATGTGTTAAAAAGGTCTTTTTCCTGCACCACATCAAGCATTCTGTTTCACAAATCTGAACTGGAATCAGGTTCCTTTGGAAATTCCAAAGCTCAGAGCTATATTTTTATTAGGGAAATAGGTACTTTCCAGTCTTGTCAAGTGACAGGGTGACACAACTGTCAGGTAGGACAATTAAGAGGGAACATCTCTTCAGTTACTGTTTCTACTCCCAGAGGTTGCTAAGAATGTGGAAAAAGTATCAAATTGTGGTAAAAGGCATTAAAACTAACAACACACACTCTACAAAACAGAAGGCAGGTTTTGATATTGTGGTCAGGAAGTTCTTTGGAAAGAATACTGAACCTAAAGCCTAGTTCAATTGAATTCAGACCCCAGTTAAGTTTCAATTTTCAGATTTCTTCCATGAAGAGTAAGAAGTAACAATGAATTAGTTCCAACCATTTCCACTTATTCTGCCCTTTGAAAGGAAAACTAGCAAGCACAGGACTTTATGCATAAATGCAAGCTTGATGAACAGTAAGTCAAAAGAAAAATTCTCTTCCTCTTCATAGCACGTGTGCACCTACTGTGGACTCCAGTACTGGCACACATTCAGGAACATTCAGGACACTGATGTAGAACAAACTGAGTCCCACAACTGATCTAAAACATGAGAGGGTTAAATTTTAAGAGAAAAAATAAACTCAATGAAAACTTAATATATTTTCCTTTGCAATCTAAACTAATTTGTATATCCTAGCATATATCCCATCTATTGCTTTAATCCTCTGACACACCTCTTGAACAGAGATCCACAACTACAGCATTCCCATTTCACTGAAGTATTTTGGAACCTAAGTTTTTTGGTATTATTTCTCTGACAAACTCCAGTGGTATACAGACTTTTCCTTCAAATCTTTATTTAATCTCAAGTAAGTATCTCAAAGTTTTCTGTGTACATCTCTCAATCCAATTCAGAACTTTTCAGGGTTTATTCCTTTAAGTAGTAATCTGACAGCGGATTCTTGGCATTAGGGCACAACTGCCTTTGCCCATTTTGACATAAGTTATTTCCTTCATCACATCTTGGTTCTCCTTTTACCAACTGCAGATTTAAAATGTTCTTATTCAACAATAAATTTGCTCATTCTTACTTTAAAATACAGAAATGTGTGTTGCTAATTCTTTCAAAATTGTTATACCAAACTAAATTACTGAGAATGAAAGAATAATGCATCATAAAAACTTTTCCTTTTTTCCTAGTCATAGCCTAAATGAGCCAGCTTTTCTGCAGGCGGTTCTCTGAAATAGGATATTTCTCCCTGGTGCAGATAAACAGATCAAATGGAATTTTCCAGAACGACCATACGCCAGAAGCATTTGCATTTAGCTTCCATTATTAACAAAACACCCCCTCCAACAAGTAATCATTTAAATAAAAAATAAACATTAATCAAATGTTTTAAAAATAGGGCAGACTACTCTGTGCATAAGGAATTGGCTGGCTGGATGGATGCAGCCAGACAGTTGTGGTCAATGGCTCTATGCCCAGGTCAAGGCCTGTGACAAGTGGTGTCCCCCAGGATTCTGCCTTGGGACCAGTGCTCTTTAGTATCTTTATCAATGACATAAAGAATGAGATCAAGTGCTCCCTCGGCACAGTTGCGGGTGACACGAAGCTGAGCAGTGCAGTTGACACAACTGAAGGATGGGCTGTCATCCAGGGAGCCTGGACAAGCTTGAGAAGTAGGCCCATGACAACCTCATGATGTTCAACAAGTCCAAGTGTGAGGTGCTGCAGAGAAGGACATGAATGAACATTTGGTCATGACTCAACAATGTGCTGTGCAATGGCTGCACAGAAGGCCAGCTCCATCCTGGGATGCATCATAAACAGCATGGGCAGCAAGGAGGGAGAAGATTTTGCCCCTCTCCTCTGCCTTTGTGAGATCCTACATCCAGATCTGGGGTCCTCAGCACTAGAAAGGCATGGACCTGTTAGAGCAGGTCTGGAGGGGAGCCATGAACATAATCACATGGCTGGAGAATCTCCTCTATGAAAATATGCTGAGATAGCCAGGTTTCTTCATCCTGGAGAAAAGAAGGCTCCAGGAAGACCTCACTGGGGCCTTAGTACTTAAAGAGGGCGTATATAAAAGAAGAAAAGCAACTATTTCCACAGGAAGACAATGATAGGACAAAGGTGGACGATTTTTAAACCGAAGAGGAGAGATTCACATCAGATGTCGGGAATAAATTCTTTACTCAGAGGGTGGTGAGGCACTGAACAGGTTGCCCAGCAAAGCTGTGGATATCCCATACCTGGAAGTGTTCCAGTGAAGCAGATATTTCAAAGTTTACTTTACTTTGGTTCTAGACCTGCAGCAGAGCCCTAAGGGCCAAAAGGCAGCTTGTTTCCTCTTTAATCAACTGATGTGGCTGGCGAGAAGTGAGAGAGAAGACTTCTTCTTACAAACAGTCTCACTTACGTACCTAATAGGACTTTCAAAAGATTCGAGAAAGTTATCCTGTGTATTTCAAGTAATTTGGGAAACAAGAAAAAAAGATATACATGAACCAACCCATCCCAACAGGGTCAGAGTGAAGTGGGTTAAATGCAAATTCAGTTTAAATTAAATTAAGAAGTCTCAATGACTTCAGTATGATTCCATCCCTCCTCCCCTCCACACACACACACTCTCCTCAGTAAAGCCAATTAAGTAGGAACCAAGCCTTTCTTCCTACCACATCAGTAAGGCAATGGTGCTATTAGTTCCAGCAAAGCTCCCAAATACTCTCCTCGCAGACTGTAGTGGCCAACAAACAATTAGATCACTCCTGAATTAAAGAAATACCCAGAAGCTACTTTGCATAAGCACTATTTTCTTTCAAAGCACAATGGAAAGTGGCACATTCTGTATTTACAAGAGTTGTAATCTACTTTAAACATGGGTTTATTTTAAAGATCTTCAGCTCTCACCTATGGGCTATTTCAAAACCCAGTGAATCAGCAAATAGTTACTGTTTATTGGAAAGTTTCCTTCTTTAGGACACCTTTATCATCACTCAGTAGTTTGCTGAAACTGTGAAAAAACTGCACCATCAGTCTTCACTATAGGCAACTGTCCACAGGTGTACAGAATCAAGAATGTGAAGTATTCAGGATGCAAATTTAAATTTTGATATACAGACCTCTAATAAATCAAATATTCTGCAGACTACAGAAAATTTAGATAGCAGCCATATAACAGAGAGCTTCTTACAAGTATTTACAATATGTTTAGCATCATGTCATGAGCTTAGGTGTGGTTTTTTCCTTTGTCCTCTTCCAGATACTCATGGCTTTTAAAGCAGCTCAACCAGGTGTTTAAAGGAAATCAGACACTACACAGGTTAAACAACATGGTTCTATTAAAAACTATCTTTAACCATGGCACTCAGTGACAGCAATACAATACTTTTTTTCCACAAAGCAACTAATATAAAAATATGCCATAAAATCATCTGTAGACTAGTATGCTAGTATACATACATATAATCATAACATTCTTTTATAAACTCTTTCCTGAGATACCTTGGGTGGTTTGATTTTCTCATATTACTGGATGCATCATCTTTATAATTCATCTAAAACAATTGTAAAATATTTTCTATGTGCAGGACACTCAGTAACATGTAAAAAGTAGTATGTAAATATATGGCAAAGAAACAGCTCTTAGAAATTATGCGCTTTTTTACTCTGTTATATTTTTTAACATTTGGCTCCTTGGGAGACGGAAGGGAGGAGCATGAAAAACCTGAAATTAGAGCTATGAATTGACAAAAAGCAGGAAAGCATTCCGGAATGTTAGGAGTTGGAATATAATATAAATGACACAAAGAGGAAGCCATAATTCACATTGGCTATGTATTGTCTTATAAAGCAACTGGACATATCTTAGTTCACAGTATAATAAATATTTTTACTAATCTGTTTTGGAAGAGCAAATGTCTTTTAGGGTTTCAAGCTCCTGTATAAGTTTCTTGTTCTGAACTTCTAGCACTGCAACACGACTCTCCAGACATTTTATGTATTCTTTCTTCCGACGTCGACATTCTTTAGCAGCTTCCCTGCAAAAAGCAGAAGTAAAAAGTGCAAACAAAAAAGCCATTTGCATGCCATTAGAAAGCTCAGCAGAGTATGGAGACTATGACAGAATTCCAAATTTTGGAATATCTCCCAAATCAGTCTGACAACACTAAGCAAAACTGGGTTCCACAAGGGCCTCAAGTGTCTCTTTCTCAAGTTCATATGGCAATCTGTAGAATTGCTTCCTCTCATGCCTTGATTAAAGTTCATAATAAACGAGGTCCAAATGAAAGACAGTTATTCTGCTTTATGACAATAAAGATCTTTGAGGGCCTTGAGTTCCTCAATGAGAGTCTTGTTTTGGTTTTCAAGCACAGCCACACGATTTTCAAGACATTTGACATATTCTTTCTTCTTTCTGCGACATTCTCTGGCAGCTTCCCTGGAACCAATACAAGGCAAATGACTACAGGAACAGCCACAATATGGCAAAGACTGGATAAATGCAATTACCTGCAATCCCTGTGGTTCCACAATAACAACAACAACAACCACCAACTGCTGGATTGCACAAACAGAACATAAGGTAACAGCCAAAAGCAATAACATAGTTAAAATACAATTCAAAACAACTAGAACTTGAAACTAATTCAGCATCACCAAATCCGAAGATGGAACTAATACACAGAAGAACTGAGAAAAATAGTGAGTAAATGATAATGTATTGACTTGAATTGTACTAAACATTAGGATGGAAAGCAGCATTTCTTCTTCCAGTCACATTCCATTTTGTGTGTTTATCGGGAGCATTGTCTTCCGCCATCAAAATCTTAAAACCAAACCCAAAGAATTTACTTTCAGAAAACACAAGCATAACACTACTCTCTTCAGATAAAAAGCTAGATGCCAAGCTTACTAAGTGCTCTAAGTTTTTACCTTAAGGTAAGAACGTTCAGTAAAATTTTAGCCTTAACAAATACAATCAATTAGCATTTTAGAACTGGCCATCTGAGCACATTCACATGGGTCTGTATTTTTTGTTGGTGGCGTATGATAACTTGAAGCCATTCTCATAGTTCTGCTCAGAAGTCTGTTACATTGAAGCTAAACACTTTAAATAGTGTTTTCAGAGCATGTGACTAAACAAGCATTCAATTCCAGAAGAAATATTAGAAGTACTGGGAGTTCACTCCTTTACCACCTTGGAACATGATAAACTGTCAAACCATGAGAGTAACGTTTCAGCAAGTTATGAGCTATAGCATAGGCACTAGTTTTAAAACTGAAGAGAGGAGAAACAAAAGGAAGCACAGCAATGCAGTGATTCTCATGAGTAATTTAAAATAAAGGACAGGCATGAGAGCAAAGCAATACCATTAATTCAATCATAAGGCAAGCGGTTAGTCAGTGTATTAGAGATCTGCACAGCAGAATATTTCTTCTACTAATCTGCCAATGATAGAGATGGCTACACATTTAAAAAAAAGACAGACTCCCTTAAGAACAGAAAGAAGAATGCACAGAGAAAGACTGATATTTACAACATTCAGTCAAGTCCATGCCAACTAATTAAAAAATATACAGCCACCTCACACAATATGCCTCATGAAATGACAGGGGCACTGCAAAGTAACTTATCCCAGTAGTCAAGTATTTAGGAAAGTCTATAATTATCATTCCATCCTAGAATAAGTCCTCTTCATAGCATCATTAATGGACAGCTGCTAATGAGGTCCTCAGATATTTTCCTAACCAATTCTTTGCTGGGATGTTTCAAAATGAAAAAGTCCATCCTGTTCACTTTACTGTCAGAAGTAGGGAGGAGGGGAATTAAAATTCAACAAAAAGCACAACTCCAGATCATCACAAAAATTATCTGATACTTATTTCTGCCTTACCATACTATTTTTAAACTAAAAATCCATGGGGATACAGTCAACTCTAGCTTTCCAGAGTCAACAGCCAATACTCTATGCTATAAGGACGTGGGATGACTGACAAAGAATTTTCTGCCTTCCCTTCATCAATTACAAACAGTGCTCATGATCTTAAGAAGAAAATTTCATTAGAAGGTTTTGGGAGTTTTTTTGAACCTGATTATGAATTGTTGTATAGTCTTACCTATTTTTCAAAAGTCTCAGCTCTCTCTTGCGTGTTGCCTCTTCTGCCATTTGCTGAGGACTATGCAAAGTCCCTGGTGAGGCTGCCATGACCACTCCCTGAGGTAAGGTGGTAGTGGGAGTTCGAATCTGGTAAGCTGGCATGTCTCCAGTGGCAGCTGTATAAAAGAAACATATTTTAAACTTTATGGCAAAAAATAACTATGCATATGTTTTCTCTCTGAAAATAACAGATTTCTGCCAATGAGTTACCTGGGATCCCTGATCCATAGAATATTTCACAGGTCTGTAATGTCACAAATATATTTTTTACCTTAATAATGCTTATTTCCACACTGTAAAATATTTAAATTGCTCTAGCATGTGGCCCCACTAGCCAGCCAGATTGAAGCCTGTGAAAGTTTCCACATGGCTCTCTTCAGACAACATGGGGAAAGCTCTTTGAGAAACAGTTTAAGCATCCACACTTATTTCCTGTTTGCACAATCCCACAAAAAGATGGCTCTGCTGTTGCAGCCACTGAGGTTTATATGCTACCCTGTTCTCTAACAGATTTCAGGAATCACCCTGCTTCAGTAGACAACTTTCTCCTCCTTCCTTCTGATAGTCACAGTACCAGCCTTACATTCCCTCCTTCTCTTACAACAGCAGTTTGGCAACCCTTGGAAAATCAGTGAGAGCTGCTGTTGCTAAAATGAACAGGAACAGACAGCTGCTCATGAGGACAGGAGCGTGATGACCACTGATAGGATGCTGTGGCATTAGCAAGAGGAGGTGGCAGTGGTTGCACAGGAAGGGGTGCAGCTGTACAGTAAGTCAGAGGGCAAAAGTTCAGATTCATCTCCTGAGCCTACCAGTTTTGAGCTCTCCCCAAGCTAAATGCTGATCTAACATGTTACTTGAAACTGATACCTTTCTGATAGCCTCACTTCATTTCTGTATTTCTGAGGTACTTTGTTCCTACTCGATGTACCTCAACTTTAAAACACTGTGAAAGTCCTAAGCACTTGTGACTTGCCTGACGTAGAATAAAGAATCAAACAAAAAATGTATCCCTCTTCAAATTCTAAGCAAGTACTTATCTGTTCCTCTTTGTAAATATTTTATATTATTACAGAACAGAACTTCAAATTTTCTCATTAAAACAGTGGAACATAAAAGATGACATTTCAGAGGCTATTATGTTACACTTAATTTATACTTTAATTCTTCAAAGCAATATTCAAATAATGGAAAAACTTGTGTGTCATGGTTTAACCCCAGCCTGCAACTAAGCACCACACAACCACTCACTCACCCCACCCACCACCTCCCCTCTGATGGGATGGGGTAACAAAACTCATAGTTGAGATGAGAACAATTTAATAATGGAAATAAAATAATAATAAATGTAAAGAAAGGAGAATAACTAAAAGAAAGAGAAATAAAACCCAAGAAAAACAAGTGATGCAAATGAAAAGCAATTGCTCACCACCCACCGATGCCCTGACTGTTGCCAAGCAGCAGTCCCTGGCCAGCTTTTCCTACACTTTATGTGCTGAGCATGATGCCTTATGGTATGGAATATCCCTTTGGCTAGTTGGGGTCATCTGTCCTGGTTGTGATCTCTCCCAGCTTCTTGTGCACCCCCAGCCTACTCGCTGGCAGAGCATGGGAAGCTGGAAAGTCTTTAACTTAGCGCAAGCACTACTCAGCAACAACTAAAACATCGGTGTGCTCTCAACTTGTTCTCATCCTAAATAAAAACACAGCACAGTACCAGCTACCAGGAAGAAAATTAACTCTATCCCAGCTGAAACTAGGACAACTTGGAAAAATAAAATGTAGACACAAATATTTTGGGGAAGCTGACAGGTACAGAAATAAAGAAACATCAACTACAGGGGGAAGAACTAAACTTAATAAAAGATACTATTATTATTATATTAGTGCAGGTGCTTCGTTAATTAAATAAAAAAACCAGAATGAAGTTGCGTTTAGACTACAATTCCACAGCCATGTCCTAAAATCATTATCAGCTTAAACCCCCTGCACCTCCCCCAGCTCTCCATCCTTCGGGTAAAAGTGTTTGTGGAATTACAAGATGAACTGGACCAGTGAACTGACCTGGATAATCCCCGGGGGATGGAGGGATGAAGGGAGGGAGGGAGGGAGGGAGAAATCAGCTCAGAACAGCCCTGTGAGCACTGACAGGCAGCCGCCACGAACACAGGGCTTGGTTGTCTTGTACATCTACAGGGGAATTACTGAAGCCTTTCTTTAAGTTCTCCACAGTCACGTCAATGGAACGATACTTCAGCTCACTATTTATAAAAATGGAATGTTAGCAACTCTTCAGGCTCACCTTTATGCTGGCCACATTACATACATTTTATAGACTCTATGTTAAGAACTACCTTTTTTCTACCTCATCACTAGGCATAAAAGAGATGTTGTCTTAGTTTGCATTAGCTATAATGAATTAGAAATCCAAGCAAGCCATTCTGTCGATCAAGTCATGGGGAAAGCCCCACAACCCAGGTCACCTCAGCCTGGCAAGACCAACTGCTTTGTTGTCTTTGTTTGATTTGCACTCAGATGGCAGTGAACAGGGCTTACTGCTGCTGTTGTGAAGAGGACTCAGTGTGATCAGTACGTGCAGCAAGGCTTAACAAAAGTGATTCCCTATCTCAGCCGGGATCAGCAAACACCACTGTAAGTAACAACAGGTCCCGGTAGTGGCTGTCCCTGCCTAACAGTTGTCTCACTTATAAACCTGCCAGCATGATAACACAGATAAATAACCATTCTGGTGGTACAGACCTTGCAAACCCAGACATCACTGTCTTTTAAAAAAAGAAAAAAGCATAGCATTGACAGAACATCTTTTAGCTGAGCAGTAATATGTGCTTTATGATAAATCACTGCAAATCAGTACTTTCAAAGACTGCAAAGTGTTTTGTATAGTATCTCAAAATGTTAGTGCCACTGCGTTCCCCAGAAAAATACCTTGGGAAAGGTGAAATGGGCTTCAAGGAGGGGGAATAAACTATTTTACCAAGGGTATTTTAAATGTAGTAATGTGTCTATATGACAGAGAAGCACACATTTTGGCATCCGAGACAAATATCCCACACACCTTAATCCAGGCTGACAAACCTCTGCGGCCATTTCTAATAAACTTCACAAAGGTTTAAAGTAATTCCTAAGGCACCAGAGGTAGGACCGAGGCTATTAACAAAGCAACAAACCTTCAGCTGGCACAGTTCCCTAACACACTGCCCCAGGTCAAGTTTGTTGGGTTTTTTTTCAACTCCTTAAAACTGCAAGGGAATAAAAAGTCACTGAAAACCTGAAGCTTTCAGTAGAGACTTACAAAAAGAAAAATTATTACCAGGAAGAGAAACAGACAAAAAACAACTACAAAAAAAACCCAGACCACATCCAGAAGAGCACAACAAACTTCATAAATTAAGCTCTGACAATTAAAAAAAAAAATTTAAAAAGCAACACTACCTTGGAAAAAGTAGCTTGCTGAACATTAGAGACCATCCCCACACTCGAGTTCTTTCAGTGACTATCCAGGAGAAAAAAAGCCTGATGTATTTTTATGTCTAGTCTCCCCTTCTGTGAGTCATAATGGTGGGAGACTTGATTATCAAAGGGGTTTTAACTTCACCACTAAACTGGCTACACAGGGCATGAATCATTACCCCTTTGAGCATTAAAAACACCGACTCGGAGAAGATACTTATCTTCGGGTTAATCAAACAATGTGCGCCAGCCCCGAGCAGCAGCACGTAGGAGCCTGTGCCGGCCGCGAAGGGGTTAAAGCTGCCGAGCTGCCGGAGGCAATTGACGAAGCAGAAAGGAACTGACTAAATCGCAGCATGACTTGGAGCTGACGTCAATGTGTATCTTGTTTGGAGTTTAACTTTTCCAGCTCCCTACTGCAACACGATTCCAGGAAATCTAATGACGTCAGCCTTTTGAACTCAATTAGCTGAGGAACAGACCATTTTAACAGTGGAGGAGAAAACAAGCAGGCGTTACAACACTTAGAATTATTGCTCTCAAATTTATTTACATTCGGTATTTTTTTAATGATGAGAGCACAAGGTTTATTTACACTGCTGAAACAATGCACACCTTTTCTTTACAGCTAGGCTTAAGCCCATAGCTATCAAATCTGTACTGTTTATTGCTAAACAGAAAAAAAAAAAAAAGGCAGCGTCATTTTTACAAAACAAGAAGCAACTATAAACATAGTAGCATATATGACTATCTCTACAATAAAGAAAAATGCAAAAGAAGACCGGTGGCTTTTTTTCAGCAAAATTCTGCATCGAGTAGTAAAGATTATTTATCTGAACTAATCTCTGCAAGAACTCATGCACTAACAGTGATTTTTTGGTGGGTTTTTTTTTTTCCCACTTGAAATTATTAAAATTGCCCTGAAGTCCTACACTAACTAGATAGAAGCCATTTGTATGAGTTTTGAGAGATGAAAGAGTTACAGCAACAAGTTCAAAAGAAAATGTCACAAATACTAACTAAATCTGCTTAGACATAGAAAAATACCATGTAAAAGGTGAACAAAATTTTTACCTGTTTCATCTCCTGTTACAGCCATGATCAGCTCCTGCACACACAATTCTCCCGCTCCTCTACCAGAGCCCAGCATGAACTGTTCCAAACTAGCAAGCATGTGCAGGATTACAAGCAAGAGCACTGACATCACAGTGACCTCACTTGCTTACCACTGTCATTAATATGCTCTCTCACTGGAACAGCTCACTGAAACTGCAGCCCAAAGAATTCCTTTTCCAGTAAACTTGTTTTGTTTTTTTTCCTCTTCCATATTTTTATATTCCTAGCTTTGTTCTTTTTCCCTGAATTATTCATAAAGCTACAGAAAGCACTCACCACGACACTGGCTGTAAAGTACAGCCTGAAAATTCACAGCACTGTCTGACAGAAATTAAAATGTGGCTCTAGCACTCGTGAATGAATTGAAATGATAAAGCTATGACTGGATAGAAAATAAGGAAATTTTAAACAGACATGCAACTGTTTTGATTGGAGTAGTTCCACTAAAAGGCAGAGAACTCTGTTGGTCAGACATGCGAGACAGGAAAGCTAATAAGCTGTAGCAAATAGGTAAATGAAAGGCTAGAGCTCCTTTCTTTGTGAGGCTACCAATAACCCACTCATTTCATTTCAGTTAAAAGCTTCAGAAAGATTAAACAATGCTCCAACAAAGTAAGTCAACCTAATGCTAGTGATTTCAGGCAGAACAATAACTCTGGGTAGGGCTATCTATTCCTCCTTCCCTGCCTTTTCAAAATACGTCCAAGAGATCTGGTTGACTTAATTTTAAAAAATAAATTAAAAAAAAAATCAGCTCTAACAGAGTTCCTCCTTACTTATATCAATTTAAATAAGTTTCAGACCAACTGGTCTGCATGTAGGGCATAGCAAATTTCTAAGGTCCTTGTCTATAATAAACAAATTCAGACTGGTAATTCATCAACTGTGAAACTAAGCTGGATGGCAACAGTGGAAGCATCAATGTAAAAAAGGAACATTCTGTGATTACAGGACCACTTTAGGATCATATGAACAGAAGATCAAAACTGAAGCACACAAGAAATTCAAGCCACAGATCTCAAATATCACTGAGCATATAATGGAAATACACATAGATCCCAACAGAATGATTTTTATACAACTTTTCTATGCTCATTTTTCACTAATAATCAAACACTTTCTTCTTCTTCAGCTAGCAAAAAACCCCTTAACCTGTATTAAGAAACTGTCCAGACATTAGATCTGCCTCTTATTTTGCCTACAAATGTAAACTTGGAGCAAAAGCAGCGTCACTCAGTTGGATCAACACCTTTGGCACTTTTCTCCTAATATTTTTTCCCACCACAGGTTATCAGAAAATATCAAGTACAGGGTTTACGTAACCCATTATTACATGAGACACATCAACGAATACTTTAGAAAGAAATATCAATAAATATGTTATCTGAAAGATTCTGAAACAGATCTTTTCTGCCCTGAGACTGATATTTGTTATATTTTTTATTCCTTTACTTCTATGATTATTACAAAAAAATGTATGTGCCACCTATCCATAATAATTATAAATTATTACCATACGTATAAGTGGGAAGATACTAAGCAGAATGTTCTTTCCTATTATAATCTGTGCTATCACAATATAAGGTGACCATTCAACTACAAAGTGTACATAAATGACAAATATTCATAACTATATTCTTACAGACTTTCTAGCATAGGCAAGATGACCTGTACTAAGGACATTTCAGACACCTGTATATTCGCCTAATTCCATTGTCTCACTCCACCCTGAATAACTCAGGTTTGTTGACTATATACAGCTGCATCACTGTTAACATCCTCAGGTGCTTTCACACTCTTTTTATATACCCTTTTTTAACTAAAGATTTATTATTTTAATATTTTCCAGTATCAATAGCATGTATAGTAACTTCAAGCCTTTTATCTTCTCGTCATATTCAAGGTCATGCTCACTTATTGTTTGGTTTGTACTTTTCACTGTATATATATGTAGCACTTTTCTTCTGTGTCAACAGCAGCGAGCCTCACTAAAGCACTGGACTTTGAGCTAAAGGAACAGAGAATTCCAGGAAGTCAACTTCTCTGACCATAGACAGAGAACAAATCAATGTCATTAAAGGTATCTAAAAGCTTCCAGAAACACGATATGGCAGGTATTCAGTAACTGTCTCTCAATCCATTTTGAATGTTTCCATCCCAGGCAAGACACTTCATGAGCTATTCCAGCTATTCCCATCACTGGGACTGAGCAGCCCCGTCAAAGGACTACTCTGTAACCCAGAGTCTGTAAAGGAAGGTTGGTCAAACGAAATTCCCAAGGACTGAAATGCTGCCAGATAGAATCCTTAAATTCTGTGTCTCTTCACAGACTTGGGAAGTTTTTGGAAACAGGTGAGGAGTTACTCTCTCTGCCCTGACCCCAAAGCTCTGAAGAATCAAAGCAATACCTATAAAACACTACGGTCAACCTGGAGAGATGGAGAAGCCCCTGATTTAAGGGATGTGTAGGCACATGGATAGAAGATACTCCGAAAACAGGTACTGTCAGAGTGAGAAATCTGGTTGTGGGACAGCCAAATTTGTCTTAAAGCTTTGCTAAGAATGTATTCATAATAACATTTAGGGATGTTATAACAGTACTCTCTGCACAATAAAAACTAACATTTGACTGAGGGTTTTTCAATATTATAGCTTTAAAACTTTCCTGAAATGCTTCTGAGAAGTCTTGGGACTAAAATGTATTACAGCAAAGAACTAACCAGAGGCAATGGAAGAACTCAAATTTCATACTGCTATTTTGCATTGTCTCAACAAATTCAAATATCTACAAGCTATTATTGTTATTAACACTCTTGGCTACCTTTACAGCAAAGGAAGAGAAACAGCCACCTAAAGATAGAACTTATTTCAAACATCTACAGTAGGTAAAATAAAGCAACTGAACCTGGACTTCACCAACTACCTCAGATATTTGTGCCTACACTTATCTGATAACTTTCATCCACTCCATGAATACATATTTAACACCTTTCTAGCTCTTCTCATACTTTATTTCAGATAGCTGTTTTGGCTTATGAGAGCATTCATACAGCCCTCCCTTCCTACTTCTGTGTGTCAATAAAATAAAATTTTTTTAAAATCCCCTATATCCTCCACAGCTACTAATTTAGTGACTCAACAGAGAAATCTCTTCCCCCTTTTCAAAGGTTTTCATCAGCATTACCCAATTTCCCTGATAATGATAAAAATCCAAGACACCTTTGGTTCTCCTGTTCCCTCAGCATTACCAAAAGGCTGAGAACAGTGGAAGGAAAAACATCATGCACAAAATACAGTAAGTCTCAAAAATTCATTATTCACAGTTCAGTTCACGTGTGCATTTTATAGGATCTTCAAAGTGCTCTTCTGTGAGAAAAGTAGCTTCAGTTAAGGATCTGCACTCTAATAATGACAAGAGTCATAAATTGCAAGAAAATTCTGCACTAAACATATCCAAAGAACTTCAGAATTTGTGTTTTAATAAGATTAACTGCTCTCACTTCAATCTGTAACAGCAACTATACTCCAATTAAATATATGTCTCAAAAATCTGGACAAGAGAATTCTAAGCAGAAAGTGATTTTATATTGTTATTTCCTTCTTTTAATCAAAAGTAGTCGCTGCCTTGCTGAGCACAGAACCTGAGTCCCCTCCTAAGACTATCTTTCATCTCGCTATCCATAAGTATTGTATTTAATAGTGCAATAATGTCAACACAGTAAAAAACCTTTTAAGAAAAATTGTTTAATATGGAAAAAATTATAATGCATTGGACTAATAAAACATACCTTGAACAACGACTTGGCTTCCAGGAACAAAAAACTGTTGTGTGCCATCAGATGACTGTCCTGCATATTGCACAATGGTAGCACCTGGCTGAGGAGCTCCTGAATTTGTCACTGTCTGGATTGTACCACCTTGAGATATAGTAACTAAACAGAAAAGAAAAAGGTAAGTTAGGCAATAGGAAGAGATAACATATGCCAAAAAGCAAAATTCCCTTTTTGAAATAAACATTGTCTGATAGGACTCCTGGTCCTCTCCTTGCTTAAAGATCACATGTACAATAAAACTTAATGTTAATACTGATTCCCACAAATATAAAGCCTGCTTTGTAGTACATGCCATATGTATAACAGATAAAAAGCCATGTTCGACATATTTTACCTATTTCCAGAAATATGAACTCTCCTCGAATAGTGTTAATATAATTTTTAAAAATAGTAGCTCCTAGACATATAGAATCGTTGTTCTAAACACAAATGTAAAAGTTATTTTAAAAGCTATGTTTACTGCCTCCCACAAAACAAAACCCAGGACATCTAGGCAAAGAAAGAGAAAGTCTTCTGACACTCACAATCCTTTCCTTACTGCAAGACAAAGTTTAGCCTAACAACATTTATCCAAGTTGTACAAAGTTGTAAAGAGTCCAACATTTAGATAAAAAGAGAAATAGAACAGTGGGATTTTTCCATCCATGTAATCAGCAATATGAAAAATACAAATATACTTTCCTCATTAAAAAATCGTATTGTATTCCTTGCCATAATCAAATATTTAGAAAAAATGCAACTCCCTAGAGACATTATTAACTGTATATTCCTTTTGAAATTAGTATTGCCTTTCTTAAAGAGAGAAATATCATACAATGGTTTGAGTCAGAAGGGACCTTCAAGATCATCTGGTTCCAACTCCCCTGCCAGGGGCAGGAGCACCTTCCACTAGACTGGGTTGCTCAGAGCCCCATCCCGGCTGGCCTTGAACGCTTACAGGGGTGGGGCATCCACAACTTCGCTGAGCAACCTGTTCCAGTGCCTCACCATCCCCACAGTGAAGATTTTATCCTAGTATCTAATCTAAATCTACCCTCTCTGTTTAAAACTGTTGCCCTCTCATTCTATCACTACCCTCCCTGACAAAGAGTCCCTCCCCATCTTTCCTGTAGGCCCTCTTTAAGTACTGGAAGGCCACTGCAAGGTCTCCCTAGAGCCTTCTCTTCTCTGGGCTAAACAACTCTAGCTCTCTCAGGCTGCCTTTATAAGGAAGGCCTCCAGCTCCCGATACCTCCATGGCCCTCCTCTGGATCTGCTCAAGCAGGACCACGTCTGTCTTGTGCTGGGTACCCCAGAGCTGGATGCAATACTCCAGGTGGGGTCTTACCAGAGCAGAGGGGCAGAATCACCTCTCTTGACCTGCTGGCCATGCTGCTTTTGATGCAGCCCAGGATAGGATTGGCTTTCTGGGCCACAAGTGCTCATGGCTGGCTCATACCCAGTTTTCCACAAGTGCTCATGGCTGGCTCATACCCAGTTTTTCAGCCATCAGCATATCCAAGTCCTTTGTGGCAAAGCTGCTCTCAATCCACTCTTTGCCCAGCCTGTATCCACATTTAGGATTGACCCAACCCACATGCAGAACCCTGCACATGGCCTTGTTGGACTTCATGAGGTTTGCACGGGTCCGCCTCTCTACTTTGTCAAAGTGTGACCATCCAGTGAATTCCTTATCCACCAAGTGGTCCACCAGCCAAATCCGTGTCTCTTATGCTAATTAAAACAATCCTGAAACTTTCAGCCGAGAACTCAATTCCCAAGTAGTAACAAATTCCTTCCTCCTCTAAAAGATATTTAAACTACAAACATGATTGTATTTGTGATCTGAGATGCTACAAAAGTCAGATGTAAGTACAGATTAAAGTCAGATTCAGGCTTGCCAACTCCTATGAATTCACTGTCAGATTCACAGTATTTGATTACATTCTTGAAGGTTGAGCTCTGCTTATCGGAATACAGGATTTATGTGAATTTTGGAGATGGTTGATTTCAAATGTTCTGTTTTAACAAGAATTGAGTACCTTGAAAGTGCAACTTCAGATATAAACACTTCAAAGAGCACTGAGATTGCCAAATCCCAGCAGCTAAATTAGCTTCTTTAGGGCAAAAGGTGGAATTCCTCTCATGCTGAATGAAGTTCAGAGCCTTATCTGTAATACTGGAACAGGGTTCAGCATGGACCTCCAGTCCTGCCTTTGGAATGGGGAACATGCAATGTAGGAGCATCCTCACATGTACTGCACACAGGCTCCGTAAGGCATTAAGGAGTAGTGGGAGGGGGTGGCAGGGTGAAGAGAGCAAGATGTTGTTTTGGTCTGGCCTCTAAAGCAGAAAGTGCCCCATTTGGGGTAGGGTGAAAGAGAGAGAAGCAAGAGAAGTAAATTATTGTATTCTCTGTTCTTCAAGAGGTCCAGGACAAGAGCAGCAGGATTTGTCAACTCTACCTCCCAGAGAAGTTTTACAGAGTCAAATTCTGCCTCTCAAGAGTTAGCACCAAAAATGGTATGTCTACACCATCACAGAACCATATCACATAAAACCCAGTCAGTTTGGCTTCCTGAGCAGTAAAACATCAGCACAGAATGATTCAAAGCTCTTCACAGTGATTCTGGTTAAACAATTATGTCACATCTGTACTGCAATTATTCATTCAGATCACAATCCAGGACTTTCTAAACAAGAGTGAATTAACTCTAGTAATTGCCTCCCCTACAGGACTGATCCCTGCCATATTCCCAGAACAAAACACTGCCCATCCCCCCATTCACTGTCCTGATCTCGACCTCTGCACACACTTGGTTGTGCTGGAGCTCTACTGAAAACTGGGCTTTCTCTCAAGACCACAGGACTTTCCTGGACAGTCCCTGAAGGTGGATGGGTATAAGTAGTACCTTCTAGCCAAGACTGAAGACAATACTAATACCACTCTCTGAATACAATAAACTGCTCTAAACCAGAAAAAAAAAAAAAAAAAATCAGATCTTTCCCTCCCTCTCAAAACAGGAAAAGGAACTAAAGTTGGTCTTTGCCAAAAGACCTCCTAATTCTCCAATTGTTAAAACACTGCCCTAAGACAGCAAGCAACCCAAAAAGATGGCAAAAGAACTAATGATTTTCATTTCCCCTGCTTCTCTTCAGGCAGATCATCATGATATGCACAAGTAGGCAGGGAGGTGGGGACGTTGATTCACACACTCCAACTGAACAAACAATTCCTGCACATTAGACCACCACCATAGGTGAGGAAGAAACTATTTTTTTTCAGTATGAAATAACCAACATGACAGAACTACAGCCAATGGAGTAGGTTCATAGTCAAACAAGGCTACAAGGCTCCTACACGAGGCAGTGCCTTGTGCAAAACCACTCATTCCCCTGACAGAAAGATAACACATATGTTGATAGAGGTAACTGGCAAAGACATTTTATCTGGTCATGCCTGTCAGTTTGTCTGCTTCCATAAGCCAAAGCCAAGAAGCTCTGAAGAAAAAGATATATGGAAACCATGGCAACATACCATTTTGGTTGCTAAAAAGTGGAGAACAGCCATCGCTGTTGCTAACAGAAAAAAAAATACATTTGTTTTCCAGAAAAATTTACTTATCAAGTTATTCCAAAAATAGTTATCCCAGACATCCAGACACCAACATTCAGTCAAAATGATCTTTTCAACTAAACTGCCTTTCCTGAATACAGGAATAGAGAGAACAGTAGAGAAAAAAGAACCAGCAAATGCAATAACATATGACATCTCTTTTCAACCAGGGCACACCACAGATGGCCACAGTGACACTGTAAGACCAGTTCTTCATTGCCATGGACACTGTACAAGCTTAATGCATAAACTGCTGGGTGCCTGCACAGGACAGGCTGTGCAAACAATGCTGGCCAGGAAGAGAGGAGTGCTCAGGCATAATAATGATAGGCAGCAGTAAAGAGCTATTGACCGGAGATGTAAAGATAAAGTAGATATGTGTGGTGACCTGCATAACATCCAGTTTAAAAATCAACACACAGGTTGCTGCATTCCCACACTGTTCCTGGTTCTAGCTAACAGCAGTTCCTGAGAATCACAGGCAGCCAACAGGACAGCTCAGAAATGCTCCAGATCTGTGCTTTATACATGTAAGGACTAGAAGTGAACAGTTAAGCTCCCTGGTAAATTCCAAATTTGGACACGCTCTACTACAAGGCAATGACTATCCTTGCTACCACCTGGTACCAATTTTTTCTAAACAGAATTAGAACATGCAGACTTCACTGAAGCAAAAGATGGGTGATAGTTTAACTTACAAAGCTGAACTTAAAAAAAAAAATCAAATAAATAAACAAATAAATTGGGTCAGAGAAACCACTTCCAGGAAGACAAAGCTCTCAAAATGAAGGTTTGGAGCCAGAAACAAGAGAGTCCATGAAGGCTGACATTGCATCCTGAAGCAATGCCTCATTATGATGAGAACCTTAAATATACAGCACATGTTTTAGGCTACAACTATAGCTCAGTCAAAGAAAAAGTAGTAAAAACCCAGAAATCTTCCAAGCTTAGCTTATAGGCAAGTTTAAATTAAGAGAAATGAAATTTAGTTAAATCTTTGTGGATTCTGTTGTTCAAGCACATTGTTGGTATTGCTTCTCTATTGCTTAATTTTCACAAGTAAATTTCTGATTGAACAAGAAAGCAAAAACTGTCAATCTTGTTATTCACTTCCCTATCCCTATGGTTTATGGCTGTGTTCAAATGAAAATACACCCTACTAAGAATCACCTGCTGCAAGACATTGCCAGTCAAAGTACAACTCTGGTTTCCTAGAGAAAACTATGATTAAGAAACCTAAACTCTAAAATTTCTTAGAATCCTAAAGGTTTTCAGGCTCCCTAGATCATACTGATAGTCTAGCACTTCTTTTTAAGCCTTGAAATGGCAGACATATATGTATTTTTTAAAGTAAACCTAAGCAAAGCCAAAAATAATATTAAAAAATTTAAGAAAATCATTTAATTTGGTCATAAATACCTGCCAGATTCTGTACTAGGTAACTGTAATTTTGCATGACCATTAGTCCACAGAAAAGAACACTTCAGATGCTTGACATCACACAGTAAACATTTATCTATGTCTATAGCTTATAGAAAGGGTAAGAAAAGCACCCTAGGAGCACAAGCAAAATTACTTTTTGTGCTGAAAGGATAAATAATATTATAGGCAATTTTTGCCTTCTCAGAGTTAATAATTAGTTGCATAAATTAAAAATAACTGAAGAACTCTAAGGGTGACTAGAATACAATAGGAGAGCCATTCTATCCTCTTTTATATGCCATTGCAATGTTTTAATAGACTTCCTCTGTTTTCTTGTTTCAGGAAAAAAAACCCACAACACTTCTTATGCAATCTTCCTGTCATTATATCAAAGGAAAAATACCTGTACTTTAGTGTGTCTACTTATGAAAAGACATGAAAAAACCCTGTAGGGGTTTTTTCCTACTTCACAGTAGGAGTGAAGCTTTCTCAAACACATAATTGAAAAAGAGTTATTATAAAGTTAATCCTTAGACAATATCTGATTAAGCCCAAAGAAGCCATAGAGAGCAAGTTAAACAACACTTTTACCATAAGTACAGGAATAAAAATATCCAAACCCAAATCTATAGAACAGAACTGTGAATCTAACTTTTAACTTGCATTTGGACGAAGTATCAAATGTTGGAAATCACAATTTAGGTTAGTTCTGCAGTTCAGGTGTTCATATATGACAACTGGAGACATCGTTCATTTAAGAACAAAAATTGAAAGTTAACAAATAATTTCATACTCCAACCTTACAATTCAAAAAAGTCTTTTTCATCAAAATCCAACATCCCTATTTTATTCTGAAACTCTTACAAAGAAATCTGTGCTATGTATGTTGTGCAACATCACATAGTACATGTGCAAACATACGGTATTGCCCTGTGTTAGTATGATACAGGCTGGTTGGCATGGCCATGGCAGAAATACCAGAAGGAGTTCCTTCATCTTCTGACTTCTCTTCTTCTTCAATCTTTGCTACTGCAGGAGCATCTGATGAAAGTTCATTCAAAATTTTTCTAAAAAAGAATGTAAGTAATTTTATGTATTTGAAAATCCATATCCATAAGAAAACTAAATAACTGGCTTTTATCAGACAGTTTTGCTGTAATATATAAGCTGCCTTTAAAACCAGCAAAACCAAAATAAAAAGTCCTTACCGGTATGAAGGCCTTCTTGAAAGTATTTCCCTACGTTTTTGGGAATCAATTATCACTTCTGATACTGCAGCTTCATCTGCAATCGATGCTACCTGTAATAGCAAAGTTCCTGAAATTCATAACTTCATTAAAAAAAAGATAGCAACAGAGAAAAAAAACTATTTTAAAAAATTCCTTCTATGTTTGCATATAGGAAATTTATGCACTTATTTATCACCAATCATGAGATTTCAGACTTTTTTTTCCAAAGCAAAGAACAAATTATGAGGTTAGACAGACATAGCCACTTGGTTGACATCTTCCATTTGAAAAAGAAAAAAGTCAGAGTAATCCAGGTTACTTTTTTTGTGACTGACACAAAAAGTATTGAAGATAGACTTCTTTAAGTATAACAATATTATACAGTTTGATTAGCTTTTAAAGTGAAGTTAAACATGTAAAACACAATATACTTCACTAATGTGCCTTAAAGAATAGTATACAATATAAAAGTCTCTCCACACAACAAAGCTATTTAGAAAATAACTTTATTTAAATGTACGCATTTATTACACTTACTAACACATATGCATAAATACAAAGACATTGCTTAGCAATGTGTGAGTTTTAGAAACACCTGACAAGTCCACAATGTCTCATTTTCTCAGACTTTTAGCATTAGTATTATCACATCATCTTCTTCTCTTAAAATTACCCAAGACAACATTAAGGCCTGTGGCTGAATCACATTCTTGACCACTAACTATATTATTACACAGAATTGAAAGTCATTATTGAACAAGGAAAACACACCATGTTCTTGGATTCATTTAACTACTCAGAACTATCAGTGTGTTAAGATTTCCAAACTGAAACACTGTGATAAAAAATCTTTTCACATAAAGACAGACTAGGCTGCAGTTTCAGACTAAGCACTGTCTTAAGCACTGAACAAACATGATGTGACTAGAAGGCTCAGTGTTTGACCTGGGAACAGAGGCTGCTCAGGGAAGTCAAGGAATAGTTCTAGAATTAATGCATCTGCCAGGCTTCTGTGTTCAATGCTAGAAAGAAAACCTACTTGACCTCAACAGAAAATCAGTGTCTGGAAGGTTCTGGAAATTTATAGGCCTGGGTCACCTCAACTCAAACCTGCAGAACTACACCTTGAAGGAACTACAGATTATTGCAGAATAAAATTGCAGAATGGTCCCTTCACTTGTTATTTTTATTAAATGCTATTTCCGTGTAAAAATACTTGTTGCAGCCTCATTTTGCTGGGTAATATGCAGCAAATATCATATCACTCTATGTCTGCCTCTCTGCCACCTAGAAGGTGAGAGGTACTTCTGCATGTGTACAGGTGTTCAGCTCCAAAACAGACATCAGAGCTCAATGGCAGAGATACAAGTGCTTCGAGAAGTCTGTGTTCCTCCTTTTGCAGGATGGACCAATACTGAGAGGCAGAGAGAGGTCCTGAAAGGCATTTCCCTCCCAATGTGTCTTCAGTGATCCTTCAAAACTAAGACAGTATTGCATAGCCAAGAGCTTGGCCATCCTTACTCAAAACAGAATTTTCATTCTGCTAGGGAGTGGAGGGTAATAAATATCTATTTGCTACAGCACAAACAGCAAGAAAACAAGACCTTAGTTGCCTTTCAACCTTCACATTAGACTAAAGGTTATAGATAGCCGCCCCTAGTTTCTGAAGATGGCTGAAGAAGCTGGGAACAGTCATACTTTGGGAAGAAGGTAAGGAAATCACAAGATGATTTAAGAACTTTAATGTGGAAGAGGACATTTTCTGCAAGAAATTTCAGAAGTTCTACTTTTCATCATGACAAAGAGAGAAACTAACATTTCAGATCATTCTAATAGCAAGCAACCATATCCATGATGTTAACAAACAGAAACCATTTTTTCCTGGACGTCGTTTCCTGGACGTCGTTCAGATTACAACTTTACCTACTTCAACTTTATTTGCATGGGAACAAATCTAACTCCAAACTGGCGTTAGTCTGCCAAGACCCAATATGCTACAAGGGGAGCAAGCAACAAGTCAAATAACAATCTGAACTTCAAATCTTCCTACAAATAAAAAAACATTAACAATACAATAAGGAACGTTACAGAGATAAGCATTTTTTTTTTTCACTCAAAAAGCAGCAGCATTATGAGAAAAATGTTGAACTTTCCGGTTGGGAGCTGCAGGTGTTTGAGGGAGAGGTCACGCAAGCTTCAGCATCAACCTTCAGTATACTGGGTTTTTTTATTAAAGTGATATAATTTCCCAAGTCCCCCATTGTCTGGCAGAGAGAAGATATCAAGTTAAAGCCAAATGATCTGGAGGAAATGCCAGTTGGCAGAATAAAGTACTGAACAGGAACACAAAAGGGCTGAACGCCCTCGGTAATGGAGTCTTTAACAGCATCTTCAAGCCCTTCTCACAGAGTGATTTGCCATTAGCAGCTCAAATGAAACTAAAGCAAAAACCTGGAACTAACTAGTCGGTATTAACTGGGACAAAAGTTTCTTGTTTCTACTCCTTTGGGAAAGGAAAGACAGCCAGAGTTCACTCAATACAACAAATAGTTGTCTAAGACAACACAGCAGCAGCTGGCAAGAGATTCCTGAGAAATTGCTCCTTCTGAGCTTTGAAGAAAGTCCTCTACCTTTGCATGTATATCCTGCCTATATAGAATGACTAATATGCTTATCAAATATAGGTTACTCTGGTAAATTACAGTCAGAAAGAATTCAAATTAAAAAAAAATGTAATTACTTTGAATACTCTGATTTGATTTCATGTTTGACCAAAACCAAGCCTCTTGACATCTACTGCATGTCTTTCGAATTCCAAAACCTTACAAGGCTCCATCATATAGACCTACCGCTCAAAAATAAAATATTCATTATCTGGCCAAAGTTTTATTCCTTTTCTCTAATATAAATCGTACCTACATGTGCTTTTTTTAGTTATTATTTTTGAAAGTTACTAAGAAGTCTCTAACATTAAAGACAGCTTCTCAAGAAGATTGCAACATGTTAAAGAAGAGCCATGTGTTGCCAATAACCGCAGGTAAAACAGTTCCCACGTGACAGGTGTATCGCCTCTCTTACCAGAGGTATCAACTCTATTTGCAAAACACATTTTGGTTGACATTTCCCAATCAGATTTTAACAAAATAGAGCAAAGGCCTTCCTAGCTTACAAGAAAAACACCAATGGAAGACCAAGTCACATTCAAAACACTGTAAATTCATTCTCTCTCTAGTCTTTTTCACTATTTAAAAGCTCTGAAAAGTCTTACTCATTTTGCATTGATCCCTGTTTTCTAATACCAGCAACTTGAAACATGTGAACATTTGCCACACAAATGTTTATTTTGAGGGTGCCTGTATTTTTGGTCTCTACATACCCACATTCACAAAAAGCAATACCTGATGCTACAACAGGGCCTGCTGAAAACAAGGAACCACTTGACTGTATATGTAGTTTCATTACATCCAGACCCTTTGCAAAAATAAAATATGAGATATTTGAAAATTTATGACTTCATAGTCTCATTAGAAACATGATGTTCACAGAATTTAGCAAAGCAGAAAAACTGCAAGACACAACTAGAGTAAGGCCACGTTATCCCATAAATTTACTGTTGCGTAAGTGCAGAGTTCCAAGACACCATTTTTTAGAAGATAAACAGGAAGCATTAAGGAAATGCTACACAATGCTTGTAGAGCTGCTACTGGTTGGATGTTTGCCACCCTTCCCTCCGCTGTTTCCTGCGCCATATGAGTAAATCTTGCAGCACTGGTAGGAATGAAGAGAAACTGAAGATGGATTGGGAAAAGAGTTATGAAGTACCAAATATTCATGAAAATGTAACAATAAAAGAGCTAACCTGAACAGCTTGCATGTGTGGTGACTGAATGACTGAGGGCTGTGTGGCTTGAATGACACCCTGGACATGAACAGTTTGACCAGAAGGCAACTGCACTAGAGTTACAGCTGGAGATCCTCTTCCAGCACTTGAAGCAGCTACAGAAACCTGTAAAAATTACAATCATCATGTTTAAGTAACATGTCTTAAGACTTCAGCAAATGCTTTCAGAAGCGACACTAAAACAAACTGATTTTGTTGCCATATCTAAAATAGCTTAGATGTGTATAGTTATCACCCACAAAAATTAACAAGTTTTACTAGTCAAAGTTTGGCATGTCCCTTTTCAAAGGGTATGGAAAGCTTAAAACTGTTCCCTAACAAATTGCAACTCTTTCTTCTTTTTTTTTTTCCTCCATAGACTTCTTGTTTTCTTTTCAATTTAAAAAAAACAAAAACAAAAACCAAAAAACAACCAAACAACCAACCCTAGGCCAACACACGCCAAATCTGCTGTTGCTACCATGAAGGTTAGGAAGAACCTCAAGAAATATAACAAAAAACATGCATATTCACTGAAGTGGTATGTTGTTGCAACAACATAAAGGGCAGAATATTCTTAGTCAGGAAAATAAAAAAAAACAGAACTGCTTCAGTTTTGCTTTCTTTGTTAGGTAAGAAGTTATGCTTTTCAGATGGATGTCTCAAGAGATGAGAATTTTTCAGATAGCAAAAAACCACCCTGTTAAATAAAGCAATCAAGGATTTGTAAATTGATTTAGTTTAACAGACTCTTGTTTTATATATATATTTATATATCAAGAAAAACAGAGTTGGAGTGTACCAGGGCTTCAAAACACCAACAAAAATAAAGAACAGCTGGATCTTCTTTAAGCCTAGCACAGCAGAAGTGTTCTGTTTAGGAATAATCTGGTCCCTCTTTCTGATGACATTTTAGAGGACACAGCTTTCCCCAGCCTTTGGCTCTCAACCCTCACTGCTGAGGATGAATGGGTTAAGAAACAGTTTAGCAACTACAGGCTAAGAAATAGTTCAATATTTTTGCTATTAGTGTTAAGTCTATTAACAGAAACAAATGCTGATGCAAAGGGAAAACAACTACAATTGATCTCAAGTGCTGCGTGATGAAACATCTCTAAACTCAGAAAAGGAAGAGAATTACAAACAAACTATATGATAAAAAGAAATACTGTGGTTTTTAAAGTAAACTGCATTGAAAAGTCTTATTTCTATATCCCACACAATCAACAATAAACCCAGACTCATATATAAAATTCTGATGTTATTCCCTTCCTAGCTTTGTTCTCAGTCCCAAAAGGTACCTGGATTAGTAAAGCTAAAATTGAGATCAGAGAATCACAGAATATACTGAGTTGGAAGGGACCCACAAGGATCATCCAGTCCAACTCCTGGCCCTGCACAGGACATCCCCAAGAGTCACACCATGTGCCTGAGAGCATTGTCCGAACGCTTCTTGAACTCAGACAAGCTTGGTGCTGTGACCACTTCTCTGGGGAGCCTGTTCCAGTGACCAACCACCCTCTGGGTGAAGAACCTTTTTCTAATATCCAACCGAAACCTCCCCTGACACAGCTTCAGGCCATTCCCTCAGGTCCTGTCACTGGTCACCACAGAGAAGAGATCAGTGCCTGTCTCTCCTCTTCCCCCATGAGGAAGTTGTAGACTGCGATGTGTGATGAGATGACAGTGAGAAGACAATCATGATGAATGCTGAATATTCAAGAAAAAAATAAAGAAAGTTTTGTAATTTTTCTGTATTTACAATTAGGGGGTTTTTAACTACAAATATGAAAGAAGTTTTCATTCCTGATCCATAAGCCATAGCTTGCCTGGGAAATATTCCTTTCTTGAAGCAAGTGAAAAATGTTAACTACTATTAAGATGCACTGCTCTCAAAAGACTTGATGGTGGTTCAAATTATCTTGAAGAAACACTCTTTCTAGGAAACAGAGACAGGATCTTGTCAACAGTCCCCATGCAGTTGTTCAGTGTTAGAGGAACCTGAACTGCTTTTCAGGAAATAGAACAATTTAAGACATTTCTAACCCTGAAATAGAAACAATCATTCCTTAAGTGGCATAAAATTATATGTAGAGAGGACGTGCAAACCTTTTTCCCAGTCTGTAGAATAAATATTAATGTTAAGAGAAATTTATCATAAATACATATTTGCGATTGAGCTCTAGAAAGTCTCAAAGATCTGAAGAGAATAATCTATTTTGTGGCAAAGTTGACATCCTTAACCCAAGCTTCAAGGAGAGAGCACAGACCAGTCTAAATGTTTACAAAGCATGCCAACTTCCAAAACATTATAAAGGCAATTTCACCAAACCTTTTGACTTACTGATACCTTTGTAAGAGTTCTAATGTGATACAATACTCTGTGTATCAGAAAGAACTTTCTGAGTACAACACATAGAAAACAGTACAAAGTGAACAGTTTAAGAGTTTCTATTTGTACACAATGAGTTAGGCACACATGATCAGGAAATAATCCAGTACTCAGGATTAAGAAACTACATTAATTTAAAAGCTCCTTAATCAGTATAACCACAAAAGAAAAAAAGAAAAAAAACCACACTCAGCTAATCTCTTTTGGACTGAAGTTTACAATACCACAGGAGAAATTGTTCTGTTCCCATTAATTCAGATAAGAGATTAAATGAGGGGGGGTTAGGGTTGAGATGGCACTATTATAAAACTTTCAAAAGTCATATTCTGCATCTCTTTTATTAAATATTAGAAATTATTAAACCAATTTCAATTCACGTTTCCTTTTGCAGTTTTCAAGCTGAATATTCTGGTGTTAACTGAAACACTAGAACGTTTTGGTGCTATCATGCGTAAATGCTGACTCAAACAGACTTGGTAAAAAAAAAATTCCTTTGTGACATCAGTGATGAGCAATGCCACCTCTATCGTCATCACCTCAAGGGCTGTCTGGCACAGCGACTGAAAACAATCTGCAGAAGCAACTCGGGAACACAGTGGGGGAGGGGAAGCTTAACACATTCTATGGATTCTATGCTCCTAGGCGTGCAACAGCCAAGTCTAACAGCTTCAACAAATACCAACCACGCAATCCATAATAGCAGTATGGTACTATACTCCGTGTGTTTGGAAATGTAAGTGCTCCCTCTTCCACAGAGAGAAAAGTAGCCAACAAAGAAGGTCATACACTACTTTCATATCAAGGCACAAACTCCTGCAGAGAAAGGGGTTCCTCATCATTTATCTGACTTCAAGATGCACTGTCCACCTGAACAGTTATTCGGTGGATGTACACGCTCCCTCACACACGGTCAGATAACTTTTCCCTACTGAGAATTAGAGAGGTTACATTCACCTTCAACCCCTTGTACCTTCAACACTGCCAGTATGAAGTAAGCAGTACACAGGTCCATCTGATTTCTGCCCCTGCTGTTGAATCTAAACACTGCAAAGACTCTAGAAGTGAAGTGAAAATTCTGCGAAAGGAAAAGTCAAGGCAAACCCATCCTGGATTCACCTAACAGAAGAGCAAAGGACTCGCCACGCTCAGGTACTGAGTACCCTCTACAAGGAAAAGCTGGAGATAGGGAAGTTTTGATCAATTCCAAAGCTGATGCAAAAATAGAAGCATATACTTTTAAGGAAAACAATGTTAGGCTGATTTCAGACGTGGTGACAGCATACCCTTTGAGGAAGCACAAAAAAGTGACAAAGCTGCACATTTATAATCCTCTAACATCAGCTTTGCTAATGGTCTGGAGTTGCATTTGGCAGACCAGTTTTAGGACCAATTTTTTTAAAGTCTGGCAAACTCTTACAGGGTTCATACTACTGGGGCCAAGATATAACACAGTTTGATGTTGAGAGCCCACAAGGACAACACTCCTGAAGTGCTAAACCTGAGCAGTCCCAGCTTGCACTGGCTATGCACTCCAGGCTCTGAAAATCTCCCTCTGATCTCTCTGACAGCAGTTCTCACACTGTAAATCCTGATGTATGTCTAACTTAGGGTCAGCACCAAGAGGTCGACAGATGGTATCTCAGACAAGGACAGCAGACAGCTCTACTGACAGACAACATGACAAAGTTGACAAAAAGTGAATCAAAGAAAAACCATCAACATGTAGGATTAAAAAAAAACCAAACATGACAGAACTGAAAGTATTTTTGTCAAATCTGAAAAAGGTCTAAGTACATTGATCTTACATTTTTATACTTATATTTAGTGTAGTGAGCACAGGGCAACAGAGAATGCAGTGTGGCTTCTAGAAATCCTGCAAAAGGAACATCTAATTTCTCCTTGAATACCGTTGCAGATGTAACTGTTCCAAAATATAAGTTTGGCTATCATCACCACTATCAGAATATTCTAATAAAAATTAACTTCCTTTTAAGAACAGATCTATATGTATCAACAGAAGATCTGTGCATGTGAGACAACCCATGGAGCCCATCTCTAAACAGGTTGAGAAATTTTCCATCTTGCTCCTTTGCTCTTCCCTGAAAGCATCCCTCAAAAGCATCAACCTTTTGTACAGATGTTCTGTACACTTTCAACAGCTTCTAAAGAAAACCACCAAAGTTTTTACCAATTAATATTTTCTTACCTATTTCTTTTGGTGGCTGGATCACAAAAGACTATGTCAATTCGTTAACTGGTTGAAAGTGATGGATCCAAGAAATTAAACTATAAATGCAATCTTATTCTACATTAAGTCACTTTATTTTAAAAATAACCCTTTAATGGACGGAAAAATGTACCTCATTTTTGCTAGTTTCAAATTTATTCATTTTTGCTTTTGCAGAAAAAGTAGTTTTACTTTCATCACCAAAAATTGCAGGAGTATATAGCAGTATCTATGACACAAGCTAGGAAAAATCCCCAAACACTATCTTTTCCCTACTAATAATGTATAATAGCTCCTTGTTACATCATAGTGCTCCAGCTCAGACATTCTTAATGTCTCCTCTGCCTCCCAACAGGGGACACATTAAAAATGCTTCAGCACAAAACAATCTCTGCCCTCTACAGATGATCATCTTATGGAATACTTGTCCACCTTTTTAAAACTAAATGGCAGGTAATTCTTTAAAAAGCCTGAACTCCAGGGGAGGGAAAAACAAACATGCACACAAAAAAAACCCAAAACAAAACAAAAAACAACAAACAAACAAAATCATCTCCACATCAAAAAAACCCAAAATCAAAACCACAAACAAACCGAAAAAGCCCACCTCCTACGTAGTTGTATCCCCAGCATTTTGCTTGTCATTCCCTGGACGAAGTCATAATAAAACCATTACATTCCATCTGGACATAAAACTCCCACCCTTTTACTGCAAGAGCAGTCACCTGCTGGCACAGATGCCCAGAGAGATTCTAGAGACTCCATCCTTGGAGATATTTAAAACCCAAGTAGACACAGTCCTTCGCAACTTGCTCTCACTGACCCTCGTTGCTCAGAGGGGTCAGACTAGATAATCCCAAAAGGTCCTTCCAACATCAGCCCTTCTACAATTCTTTGGTAATACACAGAAAACTACAAGTTGAGTATTAAAAGACAGCGTTTTACTTCTGACTGAAAAGAACCCAGGTTAAACAAATATCTTGCTGAAAAAAACAAACAACAGCCCCAGTCCTCTGTGCCCGTCCCCAAGACATCTGAAAGGGAGCCCCCTCAGCTCCAGTGATCAGGCATTTTAGCTCTTGGTAAGAATCAAGTCATTCTTTTCTCTATTTCTGCATGTTTGCAACTAAATTAGTAGGAGGGATGGTTGGAAGTTGGCACAAGGTACATTTCATTCACTCTTAGTGGCTGTCTTCTCTTCACCACACTTGTCCAGAGGCCAAAGAGGGAGACAGGATCTGTGTCCCTCTGTAACAGTCAAAATACACAGACACTGGACCAGCGGCACAGCCACAAATTCCTCAGGAACACCCCAAGTTTCCCATCTGGTACCACCAGCAAAACCAGTCAGATGTCCCACACAAACCCCTCAACACGCACCCCTGACTCTCATTATGACAAAGCACCTCACCTTCCAAGCCAGCCAGGTAGGAACATAGACTAAAAAATTCCTACTCATCTTAAGTCAAAGGAATGTCATAACAAGGTAAGTGTTCCGTTCAGGCCCGCTTAACCAAAATAAATGCTGTGGCAGTGCAGCCTCAGGGCACTGAGGGGGTGTCAGGGCTGCAGGCCCTGGGAGCCAGTGGCAGCACTGGGTGGCTGAGGAGACAGGCCTGTCCCTGGAGCCCTCTAAGCTCCGCTCCTCTTCAGAGTGGCACAACTGCACCAACCCACTTTTCTGGACAGCACACAAGAGGGATGTCTACGGCTGCCGCTACGTACATCAAGCAGCTCTGACAGGTCCAGGAGAGCTCTCTGGGCCGTCTGACCAAAAAAAGGGACTCCAGATGTCAACTCTTGACATCTTGAAGGTTAATCTCAACCTTCAAACTCAAGTACATGTTTTGGTTTAGTGCTAATTGAATGAGATCCATCAATACTTCAGAGTTATTAGTTTTAACTGAAAGAGATGAAGCCTATACCCAATACGGCTGAACCTTCACACACAGTACTCAAGCATTAAAGGCACACAAACAGAAAAAGTGTTTTCCTTGCAGACGCAGTAGAATCTCTCCTACAGCATTAGTGACAGCTTTGTCTCTGGATCAACGTTAAAAATCCCAAGTGACAGAATTCACAGGTATCTTCTTCAAACACTATTGCACAAGCCAATAGATTTTACACATAATTCATCCTGTGAAGTTAAAGCACAAAATTTGAACTGAACTACTAAAGAAAGAAGAAATGAGGGGATGACATCAACAGAACAGCTCAAAGTTCTTGATTTCATGCTCCACTCTTAAAGAAAAAAAAAGAAAAAACCCAACAAACAATATTCGCAATGCTGCATATATATATAAAAAAAAAAAGTTGGTAAGTATTTTGCAGTCTTTGTGTCTGAAGATGTGAGAAAAAGAGCAGCTGCCTTCAGTTTTTAAAACATACCTATAATGTAAATCAAGTATCTAACATACCAAATACATGGCATCAAATCTTACAGATTCATAAATTCTGTAAGATGTTTTTTAAAATCGCTTCCTTTATTTCACAAAGAGGGTTTGAAGATCCTTTTAAGTGGTTCATACAGTTTCCTAAAGCTATAAATCTTAGTAAGGTCAAGAACCTTATTTCTCTCAAGTGTCAAATGTTTCATATTTTAACATGTATATATTTTAAATGTTTGAGAATTGTTACTATATAATCTTTTATCCATTAACTGCCATAGAATAATCCAGATAGAGCAACCATACAGAACACGTGAAGTATGTTTTTAGAACTCCAGTCACTGTCATTGGATACATTAAAAATGTACTTGCAATTAGATGAAATATGTTCTGTACAAAAACTGGAACTAGGAGAAAATCATGGTTGGTTTTATTCATGTTTTCATTTTTGTTATTCATCACATCTTCAAGATACACGTTTTAGATCCTTGATCTTCCAGTCACCTCAATTCCTTAGGACCCTCTCCCCATCTCTATAACAAACAATCATCTTGTAAAAGCGAACGGAAAGAACCCAAACGTGTCCACCAATCATTCTACTCTGAAAAAGCTGGTCTCCTGAAAGCATTACCTTTTAACAGACCTCATGTTACACTGGTCCTCTGTTAACTACTGCAGGCATAGTTTCCAGTATACCTTTGCTATATTTTTCCTATTTGATAGCAACACTTATAAAACATGAGAATGCCATGCAAATTGATAATTTAAAAATCACTGCAGCTCTGAATATCACTTTATTGATTCTTCTCATCTTTCCACATTTCAGCTTACCTCAGATCCTGAGGAAATCTGACTTCGGCCTGACTGATTCTGAAGGTGACCAGCACTTCCCTCTGTCATAGAATCCACTGCATTGTCATCCTGTTCAACCATTTCCATGGTCATCTGTCTAAAAGTAAATACATACACATTTAAATAATGCAGTACATGGAGGTATATAATGCAGTACATGGAGGAGTGCAGTTCTAAACTATTTTATATTCGGAGCAGACAACTAACAGAAAATAAATAAATTTCTGTCAAAATGATCAGATTAACTGAATCCTTTCTTCCTGTTCCCCTGCATTAAAATATCAATTCATATAGGCAGGAGCCCTAAAACAAGTATTTTGGAAAGCTGCAAGGACAGACAGTTCTGGAAATGGCTGTCAGGGAGGGACAAGCACAGAGTCCCAGGGTCCCAGATATTGTCTCCAGCAGGGCTGGGAGCGCAGTGCTCCAGAGCAGCCCAGCAGCACCGCCCACAGCAGGTCCCCCGGGCCTCACACCTTGCCACGGACATGGCTCAAGCTGCCCAGCAGCCACGTGCTGCTATATTCCTCTCAAACCTTCCAAGATGCTGATTCCCAGCTGGGATCTACACTTGAACTGTCTGTAAACTACTCATGGCTCAAGACCCACAATGATTCTTCTAATTTTGCAGGATTAAAAGTAGGGTAAGTTTCATAGGAAAATTAGTAACTTGCTGACCCTCAATTCAAACTAAGAGTTTAAACTCCGTACAGAAAGCTTCCAAATGTATCTGCTATATAAAAATGCAATTACCTGACAGTTCCTTTTCGATATCTCTTGGCACACTTAGTCATAACGGAAGGTGTGAATTTTAAAACAAAAGCTCGGTTCTCTTCGGCTCCCTTTCTCTCCTACCAAACCCTGCACTGAAGGTGCAACATTGAACAGGTGATGTCAAACATTGCCATGGCAACAGGTCAGTTTACAAACAGAACAGAGACAGGATAGGGTCAGGCAGAGGCAGGCAGGCCCTCAGGCATGCTCCCACCTACACCCTACTTACACAACCAGTTGAGGCCGCAAAAGGAAGGCATGGTAGAGATGAGGGATTTAAGAGGCAGCAAATCTCAATTCCTTGGGTTCTGTTACTATAATTAGGGGATGGCAAGCCTGTCTGAACTCAAAGTTCAGCTATTTCAACTGGCTGATTGTTACTTTGGTTTCTTCTCAGGTCTTATACTGAGAGATGGAAGAGGCAGGGAAGGAAAACAGCTACCCATCTGACTCTGAGACTCTGGAATTTAGTCCCACATGTTAAAAGTAACTACACTGAGTCAAATTAAATGTAAACCAAGCTCCTTTTGCGGCACTATTTTAGAGAACATTCCAGGATCTTCCAGGATAAATTTTATTGGTTTCTTTGAAAGTCACCCTTTTCACCCAGAATAAAGGCATGAAAATATTAAAAGATATCCAGTCAAATGATGCAGAACAGAGTTTGAGCTCATATGCCTCCAACGGTATTCTACTGACCAGACTTACAGTACTACAGCTAGGGGTAGCCAAGCTGTACACAATTCAACATTTTATAAGTTAACATTAATATTTCTGCCCATATAAGTTTCGTATCCTATCCAGTATCAATTCAGATTAGAACCATAAGAAGTTATTTTACATCTAAAATCATTCTACATTTTTGTCTTGTTAGTTACCACTAATTACCTTTTTCTCTAGATCCAACCAAATTAAGGATCTACTGAAATTCACCAAAGTCAAACAATTCTGGGGAGAATATTTTCACCAAGCTTTCCACCATATTTTTTCCTAAGAAAATATTATCTTATTAAACCATTCTGGTTTTATATATACATGCAATGTAACAACAAAAATAAAGTAGGAAAAAAAATTCTTTCTTCGCAAACTAGGGCCATCCATAGAGTCTTAAACATGAAAGCTCTATCTGGTTCATGGTAAGAATGCCTCCATAAGCTTCGTAACAGCTCACACACTAAGGAAGATTAAATAATGCATAGGTACTGGCAACATATTCATTGTAATCTCTTCCTAAAGATGGGAATAAAGTCAGAATTAATTCACTTTATGAAGGTCGTGAAGTATTTTTGTATCCAGAGCCATCTGTCACAGAAAACCTACTGTTGGAGGGGGGGGAAAAAAAAGTACTTATTATTCCCACTGAATGCATTTCATAGAAATTTTACCTAGAAAGAGTCATTTTTCATCTTGGAAAAAAAAAGGTTTTAGTTCCTAATTTTAGCTTAATTCCTCACTGATTGTAGAACACTATAAAAATTTATTTATTTTTACTATTTATCAGGATTTTTCTCCCGAAGTCTTGTCATCTGCAGTGCTCCAGTAACTGATTTGGCAAATAGCTACGAGAAGAGCATCAGTGCAGCAGAAAGTCTAACAAAGCTATTCCTCACACTTTGCAAAATACAATACAGACAAAGGGGTGTATTTTTTAGATTATTTATGTTTAATTAGAAAAAGAACAGCAAGTACTATACATGTCAGTGAAATGACAAATATATGTAAGATTCTTGATATACATGAAAAACTCTGGAATTTATATAGATTTTCCATTTTTAATTGTGTATATGCTGACTCTTGATACAAATGATTGCTTAATTTAGAACTTTAGCAAGGTGGAGTAAAGTCTGCAAATCTGACTGTCATAAAATGCAACTGTTACCCTGGAACACAGCAAAATACTCTTCCTAGATAAGCTCAAACCCATCTCTTTTTGACAACCTCTGCTTGTAAACAGAGACTTGACTAGAAACAACATTCAAATATAAAGATCCAACTATAGCCTAAAAAAAAACAAAACAAAAATAATGAAGTACATAAGTAATTTTAAAAGATACACTAGTTATCTTGGCATAAACCTTCAATGAGAAAGCTGGCTAAAGATAAAATGAAGAACATTAGTATCATAATTCAGACATGTTACAAGATTAGGAGTGTTTGATAGACTTAAGCACAGGGGATCACAAAACTCGCAGGAGCAGGTCAGTCAGCTGCAGTCATTGGAGCCCACAGGGTCAGTCACACAGAGCTGTGTCACCTCATGTGGGCCTGTGCACAGCTCAAGGCCAGGCATGCCAAGGAACTCCTCAAGTTCCCAGTCCAGTCTGGATTGTCACTGTCTTTGGAGCACTCCCATAAACTGCCAGATTCCTATAACCTGAATTGCAGAGGGTTTGCATCCTGTATATAATTTTAACATGAATACTCCAAACTGTTTTTAAGAAATACACAGAAAAAATACTGAGCAATATCATAATTACGCTTTTCCTAAAACTTAACTAATACAGACTGTGCCACAAAACAGTTTTAAACCCAGTTCAGAAACTACTGACATAAACAGTTTCCACATGTATCACACTCAGTCTACACTGCAAGCAAATTCTAACATATGCATTGCTTTAAGTTTCAAAGAACGAAAACAAGAATTTTCTGCCAAGCACTAAAAATCCTTTATAAAAGTCTCTCAGTAGTAGTATATAACACGCTTTAAAGTTCACGTTACTTTCCTTCTGTTTTAAAGTAAAACTAAACAAACAGTTTTTACGTATGTGGTCTCAGGTCCTGTTTAAAATTATGTGTTTTTCTTCACTGTAAGATTAATTATATACAAGTTTTAGTCTTATACTCAGTATTAATACATTATTTTCTTACATTTTCTACCTTAGTTGCTTACAGTCACTGAACAGTAATTTTAAATATTCATCTGGATTTTTAAATTAATAAACAAGTTATATATCTGTATTTCTATAAAAACAGGGTAAAAATGGTTTTCCATAATGTAAGCTAAGACACCTGCTTCTTTCTACAACTTAGCAAAGAAATCTTCAGGATCTGGCACAAAGTTCAACCGCTACCAAAGCTTGTAACATTTCAATATATAAGCACATGTTTACTACAGTCCCTGAGATGAATGTACAGCGGGTCAGTAGCAGATAAACACTGACTAAGATGATCCACACAGTGCACATCATAAGCTTCTTCAACTGCCATCAGTTGAAGCATCCCTGGCAGGACAAATCTGGCAGACAGAATCAGCTGGAGGAAAACACTGCCAGGTTTCCTAGAAAATTGGGAGCAATTTACAACTAAAAGTGTGAACATTTTATATTTTTGTCCACAGGTAAAAGATGAAGGATGGCATCTGCATTAAGATACCCTATTCTGTAATGAAGAGCACAAAAAATCCCTTCACTTCCCCCAGTATTGCTGCTTGTTTTCCATCACTGAATATTCATACAAATACTTAACGTCTGTTGATGAAATTAAACTGCAAAAACAAATGGGTACAATATTTTGCATATCTGAAAATGTGTGACTGTCTAATTAAATACCCAGAGACATTTTAAAAAACAACTTTTTTATTTCAACCATACTTTATACATCAGAGACTCCTTACAAAGGAGGCTTATTACAAAGAAACTCATAAGGGGCTGAGAAATATGTTTCAGCCCTTGCTCCAAATAATTTTGAAGGCTTTTATTCACAGGGGAGTTACTAGAAAGCAAGGATGTGAATTTACAAGCACCTGTTTTGCATTTATTGATGACTCCAGTGAGTGTGGAAACTCTCAGAATGCACTCGTTTCAAAAGGGCATTGTGTTTTCAAGTATGAACTCTAATAACCTGTTTTACTACCCTATGGTGTGAAGCACACCAGTTGGCAAGGTGGTCACGGCGTTCAGCCAGGTAAAACAGACCAGATTTAGCAAGTGTAAACTTTCAGGTTTTTTTATCAGAAGCTTCGTGACGAAGTTTCTTGTGTCTCCTAAACTCTCACTGTTTCCTCATTTTCCTCCCCATCCTTTTCTTCCTTGAACACCCTAGCAAAACCCTAAAAAGAAAATTTAAAAGCCGAACCTGCCGTTCTTGTGCGCAAAAGCAATGCTACCTGTCCACTCTGCATCTGCCACCTCAACCGCCCGGAGCAGGCAGTGCCGAGCCCGCTGGGAAGAGGACACACGGTCCCCCTTCAGAAGGGTCCAACCAGTCCCTGGACAGGCCAGAGGACCACTCAAGCATCAGTCCCTCTGGAATCACTTAGCACTCAGCACCACGTATGATGCTGCCGCGGCAGTGGAGGATGCAGACAAAACCCTCAAACTTAAGACCTCGGGCTCACGGTGCCCACTGTGATCCTCCCCCCCCTGTTCTGCTGACCCAGCTCGGAAAGCCCTGTGGGCCAGGATGTAACGGGGTGTAGCGGGCTACGGAGAAACGATACCGGCTATCCCCGCTTCGCCTCGGCCGGGCCAGCCCCGCGGAAGGCCCGGGACCGGCCGTCGGGGCGCTCCGCCCGCAGCGGGCCGGCACTGCCCCCGCTCCTCCCGCTCCGCCAGCCGAGCCAAGCCGAGCCGAGCCGCTCCCAGAGCAAGGGCCGGAGCCGCCCCTGACAGAGCCCGGCGACACCGCAGCTCCCGGCCGGTAACGGAGCCGGCGCTCCGCGAGCCTCGTCTGGAACTCCCAGGACGCGGAGCAGCCTCGGGGCCGCCCGGCAGCGCCGTGCGGGCTCTGCGCGCCCGGCCCTGACCGCGGCGCGCTCCCGGCTGCCGGCGCGGCCACCCTGGGCCGCCTCACTGCGCGCTCCCGGCGGCGGGGCTGAGCCGAGCGCGGCACAGCGCCCCCCGCCTGCCCTGCCTTGCC